GCAGGGGAGGGGGGAGGCTCAGGTGGGGGCATACCACACAAGAGGGGTTTAATACACAGGAGGGGGTTTCTTACCCGCTCTGTAGGGTACTTTAGGAACACATCGGAAGGGGGGAAGGGGGGAAGGGGGGAAGGAGAGAACGGAGGACGCTCAGCTGGGGGAATAAAAAACTAGGGGTTTAATAGAGGAGTTCACTTACCCGCTCTGTAGGGCGATCTTGAAACAAATCTGGATGGACGAGTTTGTACAGAACCCGAAGCTGCGACTTCAGGGTCACGGTGGACGCTAACGTGGACGCTGAGGCTGAGTTGTCTTCCGTTGATTGGCTGCGAGTCGACGCCCTTAACAAGCCAGAGTTCCATTCCCGCCGCTGCTGGTGTAAGACGCCAGAGTTCTTTACTAAGCCACAGCTCCTTAGAACGCTGCAGTTTCTGCAAAAGCTGCAGGCTTCCCAAAAGAGGACTACTGCAGGAACGGAGAGGCGCCTCATCAAGAACTGATATGATACAAGATATCTATATAGACGGTATTAACAGCAGTACTGTCAACCCGTCGCTTCAGGCTTCCCAAAAGCCAGAATTCCTTAACACGCTGCAGTATTGTACAACTAGGTCAACGTCGTCGCTCGCCCGCCGTCTTGCCAGCACCAGCAAGGGAAAAAACGATGAAAAGAGGGGAGAGAAAGATAAACTGCAGCTTCAATTACCAATCATGTACAAGCCCGCTTTTCCTCTCACGTGGTGCCGCAGGAAACGCTTGCAACTGCAAAACTCGCTTGCAACCAATCGGCAAGACTACCCAGCGGATAACCCTGCGCGTAGTATGAGGTAGACATGTCAAAACATACTTATGGTCACTTCATCCGCAGTACGGTGGCAGGACAAGCAAGATAATAACCAAAAAAAAAAACATGATTTCGCAACACGACAAACTCGACGTAACCTCTCTCTCTCTCTCTCTCTCTCTCTCTCTCTCTCTCTCTCTCTCTCTCTCTCTCTCTCTCTCTCTCTCKCTCGCTCGCTCGCTCGCTCGCGCGCGCGCGCTCAATCACTCGCTCGGACCTTTCCAATGCATTCGAAACAAGAAACTCAACCTCCTACGTATCCAGCAAAGCTACACAGCAAGAAACTCAACCTCGTATAGGAGGTCGACAGCTCGAAGCCCTGCGCACTTCAAGCAGATTAAAATAACAGCATGTGTGGAACGGAACATTGTGAATCACAGAACCACTACTTTGGCAGTCCTTTTTCTCGCGCAATTCATCTAACTGCTGTTAGAGAGGGAAAACGGAAGGACCAAGAGTGACAAAAGAGGAAAACCGAAACGATATCAAAGCAAGGGAACGGGACAGAAGAAGAATTTTATTCCACTTCAACCGACAGTGCAGGCAAGCAAAAGCTGACGACACGGAAGTGCCACGGGCTCCACGAAGAGCAAGCTTCGCCAATTGCTTAATTAGATGATTGATGATCAGATCGATATACTGAGTTGATGGAATCGTTGAGGGGCTGCTGCTGATTACAGCGGATTAGAGATTTGAGCTGCTTGGTAAATGGTTGCGCTTGTTTCAATTGATCAATTTCCACCCGATTGGATGGCAAGCTGTTAAGTTTATAACGGAAGAGACAGATTCAATGCTTCACGGGCCTTCGTCTACTTGTATATATTTGTGATGATCTGTACCCACGTATAAATGGGCCGTGGCGATATGTATGTGTGCATGTATGATAATGTAGATTGTTCTCGTGCTGCTGCTGAATGTAGATGACGATGCTGGTTCTGGTGCTGCTGCTGATAGGACGGGGACGAGTTGATGATGCTCATGATGATCATCATCATTAATGAATAATGAAGGTGGGGCTGGGGCTAGTGCCTATAGGCTGGCGATGACTTGATGATGATGCTGTGAGGAGGAGGAGGATCGTCATTTAAGAGAGATTTGAGTTGATGTGTATACACAAATGTAATGACGATGATATGTATGGCGATGATGGTGGTTGATGACGATCATAATTGAAAGTTATGCATGTGGCGATGATGACAATAATAATGATGGTGATGATAATAATGATGATGATGATAATGATTATGATGATGATTGTAACGATCTGTCTAGGAAGTCGACATGACAGGCGAGTTGATGATGGGTCGGTTGAGTTGATGGGATAGAGGAATTGCTGCCGGCTTACTCGAGTAAGGAATGTATCAATGATTCAAGCTGCATGATAAGGAGTTGATCTACGAATGATACGAGTTGCTTTACCACGTTGATGATTTGCGGTGGGTCGGGGTTTCGGGTCGAGATGTGAGGGAACATGGGAACACATAGGCCGTGTGTTGGGTTGTGTGGTACATACACATGCAAGTATGTTTGACGGGTACGAGGAGGATCGGTCGCACATGTACGAATGATCGAGTCCAACTTAACAGGCGCCGATCACGTAGAAAAAATCAGAAATTTGTGTGATCTTTCCTGCTTTTTTTTTTCCTTCGGTAGTGATTTGTGTTGCTTTGCCGTCTTTCAAAGGCTGTTCTTCTGAGATATATAGCATGCAAGCAATCGTTTCGCGGCGTTCTCTCTCTCTCTCTCTCTCTCTCTCTCTCTCTCTCTCTCTCACACACACACACACACACACACACACACACACGTGTTCCCATCATTAAGATATGCCACGTCGGATGAGTGGCGTTTCCTCAGTGTCTGTTTAGCATGCAACCAATCATTTCGCGGCGTTCTCTCTCTCTCTCTCTCTCTCTCACACACACACACACACACACACACAGAGAGACACACGTACACCCCACACGTGTTCTCCAGACGGCTTCCACTTTACTTTGCGTAATCGTTCCAAATCAATCTGATCGTCATTTCGATCGGCTGGGGAGCCCAAGTTGCGGCATACTGGGCCCAGGCGCGGACCTAAGCCCTTCGCAAAGCCGGAGGAATCCTGAACCTGTTTCCTTTCTTGCGCGCGACGTGCTGAAAGAACCTAAAAGCAACTCAAATGACCAGTAAGAGCGGTGGGACCTCTACCCTACCCTTCCCATCTCTCATCATACCCATCGGCTAGAGGGTCAGAAACAATAGCTTCTCTAACCATTTAGAGGACGAAGCACAGCGACCACTGAGGACAGCTCCGAGCAATTCGGCCAATGCAGAGAGCAGGACTGGCATAGTTTGATGGAAAGCATGACAGCCAAACAGCCTGCCGCGTTGCTGGAAACTATTGTACATCGACATGGGGAGAGAAAAATGCGGGGAGGAAGAGGAGGAAGAAGAGGGGGAGAAAAAGAAGAAGAGAAAGAGGAGGAAGAGGAGGAAGAGGAGGAGGAGGAGGAACAAACAATACGAGAGGAAAATGATGAAGTCTCATACTCTTGACGTCGAGGTTCGAACTCGAAGGTAACTCCTCGAATACCCGTAGTGGTGTCAACCTGCAGTCCTCAGCTCCGCTATGGCGACAAGAAACGACCTGGCCATAGGCGATCTGGCAGACGTCTCTGAATGTCAACGACGACACAACCACCAAGAGAGAGATGGAACCCACGGAGGTAGAAGACACGAGTTGAAGTCATGGAGCAGAGCCGAGCAGGCACCCCGCCACAATGGTCTCTGATCCGCTCTCCGAACAACACAACCGTGTCCGGTCCCGCAACGACACTACGTACGGCCTCTGCTCTACCAACATTGCCAACATCGCTGGATGAAAACGTGAATTGCATGCACGGTGATAGTCCGGAGGTCTCAATACTGAGGTAGGGTAGTAGGATAGGGGTGCGCTAGGAGAATTGCCGCGAGGATGGGTAGGGAGGTGGTCTTACGGAGCATAAGGGAGTGTCAGGACAGCCAATAGCCAATAGCTGTGGCAGTAACCCTGTGTGTCCGGAGTCCGGGTTCTACAACGACCTGGACTTTCTGAAAAGAAAGGGAAAAAGAAAACGTGAATTGCATGCACGGACCAACATCCTGCAAAACGCTTACACCACCCGAGGAGGACAACAGGGCCCAGGTCCCGATTCGACTATGCGAGAGATGCAGACATCCCGTCGGTTCGGTAGAGGACTACATCAACGGCTAGTACGGGACCTCGGCCGAGGACCAGGGGTTCAACTTCGGCAATTGGGAGGGGAGTTTCTGCCGCGGGAGAACCTCTGCCCGCCCTTGCAGCATTGAGACATCGATACCTTGAACGCACGTGGCGCCCAAGGCTTCTGCCGAGGGCACGCCCGCCTGAGCATCATTGGCGCCACAGTTACCGGCGGGAAGACCCACTTCTTCAGTTTCTGACCGACCATTCCGGTAAAATCTATGGCCGGACGCTATCCAGGCATGCCCCGGACGCGACCTTGGTTGCCAGCTCATCGTCATTCCAGTTTGCGCGGAGCTCGTGTGGACAGGCCGTCGATCTGATGTGATCTACGGTCCAGAAAGGAGATTGTGGGGGAACGCAGCCCTAAGGTCTCCAAATCAATGAGACTAAGAGCTAACACAAGAGAGAGAGAGAGAGAGAGAGAGAGAGAGAGAGAGAGAGTTTTGTTCCATTTATTGTTATGAGTG